TGTCGAATACAGCATTCTACACTTAAGGTGTTTCACCCGATTCCTTTTGCAGAAATTTCCTTTTGCACTGGTATTGAAGGTGAAGTGTTTGTGTTTTGAGTTCACCGTTGTTGTGTCTGCCTGGTTGCCATTGGCACTGCGAAGCTTCCTTTACTTTCTGTCATTAAACAAAAATGACAGCTGTAGGGAAGTTTTCCTGAAAATGTAGGTCCTCATTGCCTTGCTGCTGTATCACACAACTATCGTCATTTACACGTTTAATATAAACGTGTTCATGAATGAAATATTTAAATATTTATGCCACATTTAGATGGAAAGTGTAATGGATACAATCACAAATACATACACAGACAAACACTTATACCAACATGAAGGTATTCATAATTAATTATTAGTTTCACAAGGTGGGAGAAGACGAGTGAAACTTTAGTTCTACAAAGAACAAAAATTCCCAAAATGTTCTCCTATATATCTTGCAAGGATAGGTCTTGTATAGGCCTTGAAAAATGTACTTTAAAAAATCCACGCCTTGGATAGGCCTTGAAAAATGTACTTTAAAAAATCCACGCCTTGGATAGGCCTTGAAAAATGTACTTTAAAAAATCCACGCCTTGGATAGGCCTTGAAAAATGTACTTTAAAAAATCCACGCCTTGGATAGGCCTTTAAAAATGTAGTTTAAAAAATCCACGCCTTGGATAGGCCTTGAAAAATGTAGTTTAAAAAATCCACGCCTTGGATAGGCCTTGAAAAATGTAGTTTAAAAAATCCACGCCTTGGATAGGCCTTGAAAAATGTACTTTAAAAAATCCACGCCTTGGATAGGCCTTGAAAAATGTAGTTTAAAAAATCCAAGCCTTGAATAGGCCTTGAAAAATGTAGTTTAAAAAATCCACGCCTTGGATAGGCCTTGAAAAATGTAGTTTAAAAAATCCACGCCTTGGATAGGCCTTGAAAAATGTAGTTTAAAAAATCCACGCCTTGGATAGGCCTTGAAAAATGTAGTTTAAAAAATCCACGCCTTGGATAGGCCTTGAAAAATGTACTTTAAAAAATCCACGCCTTGAATAGGCCTTGAAAAATGTACTTTAAAAAATCCACGCCTTGGATAGGCCTTGAAAAATGTACTTTAAAAAATCCACGCCTTGGATAGGCCTTGAAAAACTATTCTTTAAAAAATCCACGGCTTGGATAGGCCTTGAAAAATGTAGTTTAAAAAATCCACGCTTTGAATAGGCCTTAAAAAATGTACTTTAAAAAATCCACGCCTTGGATAGGCCTTGAAAAATGTACTTTAAAAAATCCACGCCTTGGATAGGACTTGAAAAATGTACTTTAAAAAATCCACGCCTTGGATAGGACTTGAAAAATGTACTTTAAAAAATCCACGCCTTGGATAGGCCTTGAAAATGCCTTTAAAACTCTTTTTTAAAATAAATACGACTTAAACAGGCCTTGAAAATTATTTTTATTTGTTTTTTTTTTTTTTTTTTTGAAAAAATCCGCATCTTGGATAGCGGTACGTTAAATTTTTAACCTAGTTTTCCCGTTATTGATATTTAATTTTTCATACCTGAACCTCATCTCCCTCCAGATGAATTGCACCACTGGAGGAAATGACACCATCTAGAGAAAAATTACAACACTAAAAAAGCCGGGACCTCAACCTCTGGACATAGCTGAAGGTGGAGATGTTTCTAGGCAACTATAGATGGCAGTCCCATCTCCGACGCAATGCTACAGTAGATCAATCAGAACTGGAATAAAGGAAACATTTACTGACGAAACTAATGCAAGGACTAATCGAGTAAGATATTGATGTTTTGTGGAAACCCTATGCTCGCAAGAAGACCACACATGAAAAAATAGGAATGATGACAGGTGATACAGTCACGTAGAAGAAACTATTATAAGCAATGACCTCAACTACTGTACAAAATTCTAGGGGGTGTTGTTCCTAGGTAACGATAGATGGCTGCCCCACCACTTACGAGAGGCTACAGCAGCAGATCAACCATCAACTGAGCTGGAATAAACGGGACAATTGTTTCTAGGCAATAATAGATGGCAGCCCCATCTCCGAGGCCAGGCTGAAGCAGACCAATCATCAACTGAACTGGAACAAACAAAACATTTATTGACGAAACTAATGCCAGGATGATGATGAGTATGATGATGTCGATGTTTTGTGGAAGCCCTATGCTCCCAACAAAATCACACATGAAAAAATAGGAATGACAAGTGATACAGCAACCTAGAAGAAAATTACAACACTAAAATAAGCTGGGACCTCAACCACTGCACAAAATTCAAGAAGGTGTTGTTTCTAGGCAACGATAGATGGCTGTCCCCATCACTACGAGAGTCTACAGCAAATCAACTATCAACTGAGCTGGAATAAACGGGATAATTTTTAACGAAACTAACATAAGACGTATTCGAATAAAATGGCGATGATTTGTAGAAGCCTACCATGGCACCAACATCATCATACATGAGGATAACACAAAAATAGGAATGACAGGAGATAACGCCACCAAGAATAAAATGCCATTAGCAAAGTTAGCAAGGGCCGCAACCTCTGCAAAAAATTCAAGGAGGCATTATTTATAGGCAACGATACATGACAGCCTCATCATCTAGGACAGGTCTCCGCAGACCAATCATCTACTGAACTGGAAATTTTGGAAACCCCCTATACTCTCAAGAAGACCACACATGAGGTTAGTAAAAAATAGGTGCGACGGGAGATAGTACCATCCAGAGGAAATGGTATCACTAAAGTAAGAAAGGACCACAACCAATACAAACAATTTTAGGTGGCGTTGTTTCTAAGCAACGATAGATGGCAGCCCCATTACGTTGGACAGGTTGCATCAGACCAATCACAAACTGAGCTGGAACTCGAATATGATGGCGATGTTTCGTGAAAACCTACGCAACGATACATGATAGCCTCATCATCTAGGACAGGTCTCCGCAGACCAATCATCTACTGAACTGGAAATTTTGGAAACCCCCTATACTCTCAAGAAGACCACACATGGGCATAATACAAAATATGAATGACAGAAGATAGCACCATCCAGAGGATATGGCATCACTAAAATAAGTAAGGACCACAACCAATGTAAATAATTTAAGGTGGCGTTGTTTCTAAGCAATGATAGATGGCAGCCTCATTACATAGGACAGGCTACATCAGACCAATTCCAAACCGAGCTGGAACTCGAATAAAATGGCTATGTTTCGTGAAAGAAGGGATGAACAAATATCGAGTAGTAATAGGTGCAAATATTGTGAATTTTTGTGCAGATTCGAAAATTAGCTTAGTGGTTGTTCAATTTAGACTATTTTCTTTGCTTTATGGTGTTTAACTTTATAAAGAGGTGGTTGAAGAGGTGATCCGATGTTCTCCATATTATAGGATAATATGAATTCGAAAACACTTGGTTAATCGATCAAGGGTCCTTATGCGATCCATATAGTCTGGTCCCCAGTATTCATAAGTTAGAATTAGAAATGGTTTCAAGTTCGGTTAGGGTATTATATCTTTGTACAGCCCAAGAGTTTGCAACGCCTCGAAATATTGGTCCTAGACCCACCTTGAAGTATACCAATCGACATAGCTGAGTTGATCTAGACATGTGTGTCCGTCCGTCTGTCCATTATAATTTATAAACACGATACAGGCCACAGTTATGGATCAATCATCACGAAATTTCGCATGTAGGATGGGTTCTGACCAATGGAGACTTCTATTGTTTTTGGTAAAAATCGGTTAATATTTAGGGGATGAAATGGACCAAATACTTAATTTTTGTCAGCTCCAGAGGCCGCAATTATGGCCCAAACATATTTACAGGTGCTTACGTATTCATATATTATTTAGTAACCTATTGCCAGACTGGAGGGCGGAAATATAGCGCTGATCGCTTTGAAATGTTCCATGAGGTTCCAGTTATGGTCAAGGACGCCTAAAATGTTAGGTGATGATCAGATAATAATTTTCGGATGAAGTGGGACCGAAAACTTAATGTACTGTACTTTTCGAGTCGAAAACCGAACATCACAACACAACCCACAGTGAAGGGAATCTGAACAATTAATTAGAGGGGCTGTACTGAATATTTGTAATATTTGTTGACCTCCAGTCGGTCAAAAGGGTGCAAATATTGCGAAATATTGCCCAAAGTTAGATTTTCATGGAAGTTGTGTAGGGTATCATATATTCGGCCCCCTCCGACTATACTACTCCGCTCACTGGTTTTATATTATTTAAATTTTTTTGTGAAACGTCTTGAGGCAATTTCTTGTTCGTTAAAAATGTCCAAGCCAACAAATACAATTGAACCGCAATCAATACGAACTCCGAAATCAAATTAATTATCCTAGAACAACAAAAAGCAATAAATCCGATACAATTACATTTTGTTCTTAGACCAAGCGATTATTTTTGTTCCATGTCTTGGCCTTTGTATGGCTGAAAGTACAAAAAAAATAATTTCACCTAAGGGATGTATTAACGTTTCAATTTAATTTGTTATGTTTCCTACATCTAGTTCGCTCATTCGGTTCGTTCGTGATTTCCTTGTTATGTTTTAATTCCAAATTTACTTCACCTCCACACCATCATTCTGCTTTAACATTCACCTTGAGAATTAATTGAAATTGATTTTCAAGAAGACAGGGAGAGAGAAATGTTTTTTAATCACTGAATCTTTTATGACAATTCTTCTGCGTGAATTAGAGGTGAACTCTAAATGAAATGGAATGTTAGGAATATAGATAAGAGACACAAATAGTCGTTTCAATGTGATGGATTTTGAATTGAAAGCTGTAATGGGGACTACCAGATGGATATCTACAAATTATGTGAACAAAGAAGTTGAACTGCTGTCAATAGAAATTGAGGTGTGATTTTCGTATTTTTCTTTTTTTTTTTTGCACTGATTTTTCAATTAATTTTACAAAAGAAAATATATAATATTATCCTCTTCCTTAAGCCTTTGCCAAACGATACAGCCATGTTAGCTCCAACATAATCCAATCCATGGTATTCGCCTTCAGTCGTAAAATCAATGAAAAATTACCCTTAGGGTGAAATTGTGGCAGAGCTGCTTTATTTATCGCATTTCGTATCAGATATGAACCCCTCCTCAGAGGACATTTTATGGACTGGGTACGATTCACCAGCAAATTTTCATAGAAACCATGAAATACCCGATTCAATAGAGTATCCGCGAGAAATATACAACCTTTCATATTATTCATGCGATACAGTTCACGCTTCATGTTCAATTGATTGATGATCACATCAATATAGAATTCTCGAACTTCTTTGCCAATTTCACAATTGTAAATATTTTCCTCTGGTGAGATAAGGCGAAATTCCTTAAAATATTCGGAATCAATGGACGATTCGAAATCTTCTAATATAAATTTTAAAGATTTTGTCAAGGGTATCACTGTGGGCTGCGATATAAAAACAGAAAATTATTTTACGAAATAATTCATTTCAAGCCGATCACAATACCTTGGCTCTGACCCGTACCAAAAATGCCATGATCCACAATTGAATAAATATTTTCATTATTTGTTCTGAAATTCGATTGGGGTTTGTGTTTTATTTAAAATGTATTTTATTTAAGCAGTTAATAGGTCGCATGGCTTCGTAATGATTGGCCCAGATTTGTTTACTTTAGCTTCCCCCAACCAGTTAATTAAAATCTCATTAGTTGATAGTTTGTTTAGAAATAATTATTTAAATATTTATAATTGAAAATTATTATTTGTTGTTTACGCAAAAATACGAAATTGGAATATCCAAATTTGAGCATGGTTTGTAATAGTCTTATTGCTTAGTATAAGAGTCGACCACAATATACATACAGACGACTGGTATATTATGACCTTCATACATTTTTTTATAATCCACATCTGAAAAAAAAAACTATTTAAAAAATCCACGCTTTGGATAGACCATGAAAAAACTCACGCCTTGGATAGGCCTTGAAAAAAATATTAAAACAATCCAGGCCTTGGATAGACCATGAAAAAAATATTTTTTTTCATTCCTTGGGTAGAGTTTGAAAAAAAAATTTATTTAAAAAATCCAAGCCTTGTGTAGAGCTTGAAAAAAATTTTTTTTTTTTAAATCCTCGTCTTGTATAGAGCGTGAATAAAATTTTTTAAAAATCCACGCCTCGGATAGGTCACGGCTGGGACCCAGAAAATATTCTTAAAAAAAAACTCACGACTTGGGTAAGCATTGCAAATTATTATTAAAAAATCGGTAAACAACCATCATTCTCCAGAGGTAATATCCGTCAATAGATATAAAAATCTACCCACACAATTTTATCTTGTAACCTGTAAGGAAAGTTCGAAAGTCGGACGGAGCCGACTATATGATACCCTTTACCACTTTGAGTACATACAAGATATGATCGTATGTACAATATCCTTTAGATAGAGTAGATTTGGAGGACCATTGAAATAGTATGGTACGGAATTAACTGCGTGAAGAACAAAAATATTTGAACTAAATCTAAATCAACCCATACACATAACAATCTGAAAAGGTGAATGTCAATCATCGAGCAAAATATGTATAAGATCGTAAGAACGGACGTATTTGAGCAACCGTGGCATCCACCATTTGGTATTCAAAATTTATCTCGATTGTGCACTAAGTCGCCCTAAGCGGACAAATTTTACTTACTAGGTACATAATGTGTTGATGAAATCGGATAACTAAGTTCCATATCCGCTGCCAAACATAGACTCCTCGGTGCGCCATTTACATAAAATCGGACGAAAATATATATTAGAGCTATATCTAAACCGATTTTAACAAAACTTCACGAACGTCATCCTGCAGCAATTTCAATACGGTTGTTAACCTGTAGAAACATCAATATGCTATGTAAAATTTTGTCTCAATCGGACAAACATAGACAGTATGGTGCAAAATTTACATAAAATCGAAGGAAACTATATATGGGAGTTATATCTAAATCTGAACCGATTCCAAAAAAAACTTCGCGTATACAAATTTGGACCTAATTCAGAACGCTGTGCAAAGTTTTGTCTCAATCAAACCAATATTGGTAGTATGGTGCTCCATTTACAATAAATCGGACGAATATATATATGAGAGCTATATCTAGATCTGAACCGATTTTTTTTCAATTTCAATAGGTTTCGTCCTTGGGCCAAATAAGTGACATATGCAAAATTTCCTCCAAATCATAAATACGACCTGTACTCTATTCACAAAAATACATGAACGGACAGACAGACGGGCATGCTTAAATCGAGTCAGGAAGTGATTCTATGCATATTCTCAAAAGGAACCATGGGTCTATCTATCGATTCCATTTGCCTGTTACAAACATATGCAAAAAGACATAATACCCTGTACCACAGTGTGGTGAAGGGTATAAAAATAATATCCAATATGGTTTAATTTCCATTGATGCCCTCCAATCCAAGCCACTTGCGATACCGGCTAAATTTGTCTTCCTCAAGTCTTCGTCAAACAAAACAAAATATTTACAAAACTATTGAAACACAAATTCAGCCAATTCAGCAAAAGAAAACAAAAAACCCTCGTCTACCCCAAACATCGAACATGTCGACCAGCCAGCCAGCCAATACTCAATATTCATTACGGCCCCTTATCCCCCACCCAGTAATACGAGTTCATATCAAAAGCACGTGTACGACTATTTAAACACTGTGATAATCTTTCAAAATAATATTGGATATCTGACAAAGATCTGTCATTAGTATGGGCGGGATGGTGAGGGGGGTAGGTCGGCTCCATTTCAACATTGCAGCAGTTAAACAAATGAGGATGTAACCAAAAGAAAAACAACTGAAGGAACGGCTATATGACATGGCAAATAAGGATGAGTGCACACAAACACACACACACGCACACCCCCACTTGAATGTAACAGCAGTTTATAAGTATGACAGACAGGTTGGTTGGTTGGGTCTACTTTTTCATCTGTTTAACTTTTATGAGAGGTGACACAGATTCCCACTGAGCGAATGAGAATGGGTGTTTGGGGGGTAAGGCATGGGTGATCTGGTGTTTGTTTGCCATCTGATTTAGGTTGAAAATCTCTTTACAAATTTTTGATAGAAAGAGGCTGCAATGAATGCAGATTCTTTTGTATGTTTTTGCAAGTGTGTGTGTGTGTACCACATTTAGTATTCTGTATTTTTCCCACTACGATTTCCATCTGTTTATTTTTCCCACTCACCACCATTCAACGTCCTCCGCCACTCACAAGTGTCAAGAGTCAAACAAAACGTGCTTTGGAGGCAGAATTCTTTTTGCATTTAATGCAGACTTTTAATCCCCCACACACAAAAGCACACACAAACATACACACCGTATGTATGCGTGTGTGTTTTCGCGGTAGTGTAATTCACTCACTTTGTCATGAATGAGGAATTACCGCAACACTACCAACTACTACTATAGGCCATCATATTTTCGGTTACATTTTTGTGTGTGTGTGGCTAAGGCCCGTATGGCTGGTACATTTGTGGTGTAGAGCCTGAGTGAATGATTCCGCTTGTTTTTGTTTCCTTTTCACCAAGTAACATAATCCTTCTCCTCTACGAGATGGGGGAAAAAGTGTTAAATTACAAACGTAGCATATTTTTTGCGGGGCGAGAATGCGACCTTCGCAGTAATAATAAAATAAATAAAATTAAATAAATCTCGAACGCATGTAACATTGCATGTTTTATAGATTTTCCCCCTATTGTATTGAAGAGTAAAAAATACAAAAAACAATGCCTATAAGAGGCGCAAATTTTTAAAATAATTTTTTTCAAGGTCTATACAAAATGTAGATTTTTAAAATAATTTTTCCAAGCTCTATCCAAGGCGTGGATTTTTAAAATATTTTTTTTTCTAAGATTTTCTTAGATTATTTTTTTAATTCAAATGTCTGGTTAATATTCCAAAATCTATTGTCTCGAATGTCTTTAAAGCCAGAAGCTGTTTGCATTCCCATATCCAAAATAAAAACAAATATCTACACAGATATACATACTTACATACACAGATACCAAAAACAAATAAAATTTCAACAGACGTTTTTAATAACAGACAGTAACACAATGCAGGGACGTAACGATTTAAAATTCTCCAAAAAAAAGTTTCAAATTTTTTCTAATTCTTTTTTGAAGTTTAATATTTTTATACCCTTCACCACACTGTGGTACAGGGTATTATGCCTTTGTGCATATGTTTGTAACCGGTAAAAGGAAACGAGATAGACACATGGTTCCTTTGGAGAATATGCATAGAATCACTTTTTAAGTCGATTTATGCATGTCCGTCTGTAGATTTAAATTATACACAAAGTAGGGATCGCATTTATAATCCGATTTAAATGAAATTTGACACATATGACATATTTGGCTCAAAGACGAACCCTATCCAAATTGAAGAAAATCGATTCAGATTTAGATATAGCTCCCGTATATAGTTTCGTCCGATTTAATGTAATTGGGGCACCAAAGTCCCTATATATCGTTGGATTTGCATGCAATTTGACATAGAGTTCTGAATTAGGTCCAAAATGATGTGTATTTAGTTTCATGAAAATCGGTTCAGATTTAGATATAGCTCCCGTATATATTTTCGTCCGATTTAAGGTAAATGGGGCACCAATGTCCCTACATATCTTTTGATTTGCAAGAAATTTGGCATAGGGTACTGAATTAGGTCCAGAATAGTGTGTGCTAAGTTTCGTGAAAATCCGTTTAGATTTAGATATAGCTCCCATATATAGTTTTGTCCGATTTTATGTAAATGGTGCACCAAAGACCTATATATCATTCGATTTGCACGACATTTTGCATAGCATAATGAATTGTGTCTATAATGATGTGTGTCAAGTTTCAAAGAGATCGATTCAGATTTAGATATACCTCCAATATATATTTTCGTCCAATTTAAGGTAAATGGGACACGAAATTCCCTATATATCTTTTGATTTGCACGAAATTTGGCATAGGGTACTGAATTAGGTTCAGAATGATGTGTGCTAAGTTTAATGAAAATCGCTTCCGATTTAGATATATCTCCCATATATAGTTTGTCCGATTTCATGTAAATGGTACACCAAAGTCCCTGTATATCATCCGATTTGCACGAAATTTTGCATAGTATACTGAATTGTGTCTATAATGATGTGTGTCAAGTTCCAAAAAGATCGGTTCAGTTTTAGATATAGCTCCCATATATAGTTTTGTCCAATTTCATGTAAATGGTGCAACAAAGTCCCTATATATCTTTCGATATGCACGAAATTTTGCATGGCGTACTCAATTAAGTCTAGAATGACGTTTGCCAAATTTCGAGAAAATCGGATCAGATTTATATATAGCACCCATATACAATTTCGTCCGATTTAAGGTAAATGGGGCTCCAAAGTCCCTATATATCTTTTGATTTACACGAAATTTGGCATAGGGTATTGAATTAGGTCCAGAATGATGTGTGCTAAGTTCCGCTTCCGATTTAAATTTAGC